TAGAGATACCAGGTCCTATGCGCAGTATTTTCACAGGTGGCCTATTTTCTTAGGCCTGCCGAAATCATATGTCGTGGTCGGCCTAGGGTGTATTACCTCTACCTAATGCATTATTCCCTAGAGGAGCCTTTGAGCGGGAATATCCCTTGGGGTACCAAAGGGATCTTCTCATTTCAGTCACCTAGTTGAGGAACTCTGAATTACCTCTCAGGACTTGGCCTGGGACAAAGACTGCATATTATTTTACTGCTGTGTGAGAAGACAGTAACAGGTTAAATTCTGCTGTATGATCTGTTTTTAATTGTTTTGTTTTTGCAGAGGTGAGAGCAATGAGACTTTGAAGTCAGCATCAAAGGGGTGGAGGGCTGCTCTACTTCCTCTGCAGCAAAGCAAAATTGACATCCTATTGCCACGTTTCTCTTAATAATGGTTATAATTGGGGTTAGAAACCTTCATGTTTGGAAGTCCTCCCCCAGCCATACCAGAGGCTCCTAGCAAGGGGTCCAGTAGTTGGAGGAAGATGTGGTCAAACTCAGTTTACCAGATTGGAGGTGAAAACTCATGATTGCCAAGGTTTTCCAGAGAGCCTGCCGATAACACAGTTTTATACTTACTGAAAATTGCAACTTTCCTAAGTTGTAGTCTAGAGATGTGGGCACGTGAGAGTCAGGTACTTTGGACTTCTTGTCCTAACTTAGCTACGTTGGCCTTGTTGGGCAAAACACGCAGCCTTTTTGTCTCTCCTTTGCCCCTTCGAGCTACCAAAGGCAGTAGGCAGTCTCTCCTGCTCCGGGGCAGTAGGACGAGGCCGCGTGCCGGGTTGGCGGTGCGGGTGCAGCCGCCTATGGCTGGCTAACGTTCATCGTTCTGACATGGGAAACGCGAGCAGCCCTGGGCAGGCCGGGCAGCTTCAGCAGCTGATGAAAGTTTCCTCGCTGAGGTCCGGCGATATCAGCATCTGTCCACTGAAGGTTGCTTTTTAGTATCTGTTTCTGTGAGATTAACCCCTCACAGCTCAGTGTCTGGAAGGTAATGCTGCGCTCATGGTTTTCCTCAGTGCCGGGGAGGCCTCTCACTTCCTGAGAGGCGCTCACCAAACGGAGCTGCTGTTAATTAACAGCCTGATTAGTCCCCAGCAGATTGCTGGGTCCCAGAGTCTGAGCAGAGTAAAGGTGTATGGAAGTGCATGCTGTAAAGTCTCAAGTTGAGACTGGCAAAGTTGGGCTAGAGAGTCTTAGCACGTGATGCGATTTATTTCCAGCAGGAAATCTCGCAGCCCTCCACGTTGCGTTTAAGCTTTGGGCTCTGGCCGCGGCAGCCTGCGAGCAGCCGTAGGTTACCTCCGCAAGCAGCACCTTGTGCTTGGCGCCGCCTGGAAAAGCAGGGGAGTGTGCAGGCTGGCCGGTGGTGGCCTTGCTTCAGAAACAGTGCCAAAAACCCCCAAAGGGTGCATGTAGGCTCGTAAGGCAGGGCGGTGAGCTGGAGGGTTGGCGTGTGGGTCGAGCCGCCCGCAGTGGGCCTTCCCGGGGCTGAGCAGGGCGCCCCGGCACCCAGGGAACCTGCACCGTTGTGTGGGCTCTGCGGGGCACCCCGGTGCCTGCTCGCCCTCCTTTTAGTCACACATGAGACATCTTTAGCGCTAATTCCTGTTAGCAGTTACTAGTAATTTAGCATTTTAGGTGACCCTCACAAAGGTTACTTACGAAATACCCTCAAAGTGCTGCCTTGTACGCAAGTGGGAAAATCATGAGAGCAGGAAAAGAAAAAGTGGCTTTTCAGATTGCTGTCTGATTATGTTTTGGGGACTGTGTCCCTTCTATTGCCAGGCTTTGCCCAGAGTGATTTGAGCATGCGTTATGACATGCTTTACTAAAACAAACAGACTAAACCCCATGTTTTATCCCTGGATAGCAGTGACTTGCCTGTCACATCTGTATGAATCCTTCCCTGGTTCTTTGAAGCGACTGGCCATGCTTCATCCATACACTAGCCTGCCGTTACCTAGATTTTACCTGCACGTTTAGGAAGGCTCATCTTCTGCCAGCTGAAACTGTAGCTAAAATTCACGTTGAGACCAGAGCGTGGCTTATAAAGTAGAGATACCAGGTCCTATGCGCAGTATTTTCACAGGTGGCCTATTTTCTTAGGCCTGCCGAAATCGTATGTCGTGGTCGGCCTAGGGTGTATTACCTCTACCTAATGCATTATTCCCTAGAGGAGCCTTTGAGCGGGAATATCCCTTGGGGTACCAAAGGGATCTTCTCATTTCAGTCACCTAGTTGAGGAACTCTGAATTACCTCTCAGGACTTGGCCTGGGACAAAGACTGCATATTATTTTACTGCTGTGTGAGAAGACAGTAACAGGTTAAATTCTGCTGTATGATCTGTTTTTAATTGTTTTGTTTTTGCAGAGGTGAGAGCAATGAGACTTTGAAGTCAGCATCAAAGGGGTGGAGGGCTGCTCTACTTCCTCTGCAGCAAAGCAAAATTGACATCCTATTGCCACGTTTCTCTTAATAATGGTTATAATTGGGGTTAGAAACCTTCATGTTTGGAAGTCCTAACACAGCCATACCAGAGGCTCCTAGCAAGGGGTCCAGTAGTTGGAGGAAGATGTGGTCAAACTCAGTTTACCAGATTGGAGGTGAAAACTCATGATTGCCAAGGTTTTCCAGAGAGCCTGCCGATAACACAGTTTTATACTTACTGAAAATTGCAACTTTCCTAAGTTGTAGTCTAGAGATGTGGGCACGTGAGAGTCAGGTACTTTGGACTTCTTGTCCTAACTTAGCTACGTTGGCCTTGTTGGGCAAAACACGCAGCCTTTTTGTCTCTCCTTTGCCCCTTCGAGCTACCAAAGGCAGTAGGCAGTCTCTCCTGCTCCGGGGCAGTAGGACGAGGCCGCGTGCCGGGTTGGCGGTGCGGGTGCAGCCGTGCCAGCAGGCGCGGGGCGCCCGAGCTCCTTCGCCTCGCCGTGTTGGGAGTCACCTGTGGTTTTGGGGGGATTCTTACTCTCTTCACTGGTCAGACCAATGGTGGCATTTGTGGCTGGCAGCAGAAAGGCTCCTTCAATACAAAATGACGATGTGCAGTGGTTCAGAAGAGCCAGCAGGTGGGTGGGAATTGTAATTTCTTCCTAGATGAAAAGAGAGAAAATATCAAAGAGAAGAAATCAACATGATGCACGAACAAGCCAGTAATAGTGAATGAAATGCAACGGGCACTGTCTAAACTAATTTCGATCTTGGACTGATCCACTGGGCATGTTTTCTTAAAAAATAATTTTGCACTCTGTAGGTGTATCGAGCCTTTTTCTTTCTGCATGGGGAGCTGATAATGGATTTAGTTTCTATTATGCTCTTGTTTATGTCAAAGTCGAGGCAAAGGTATTTTTATTAAATGAAGCTTGTTTTAAAAACTATAATTATAAATGGAGATGATATGAGCAGTAAAGTTTGGATCTGAATTTCTCCAAAATTTGGAGATTTGGGTGTGACACGTGGAAGCATCTCTCCTCCACTGTATCTAATTAAAATAATAATATGTGCTAATTTACCAGTATTAGCTTGGTGCTTTTCTACCGTCTTCCACTAAAATCATGTGCATTATGTTTTAACCCAAGGGGGGAGAGAGGGCGCGACGTTATCCTGACACTCAAGGAAGCGAATTGGGATTGGCTCAGCCCTGCCTCCTGGCAAAATCCTGCTGTGCCCGATGTGTGTGATCGTGGTAACACGTATCCGTGCTCCTGCTTTTCGTCTCCTTTCCTCAGCCCTCCCTGCTGATCACTGTACCCACTTGGGAGATTTTGTCACGCCACGTATTTGTGCGGGGCCCCAGGGCACGTTGGGTAGTGTGAATTAACGCCTGTTGCCCTCCCGAAGGTGATGCTGCCGTGATGGTGCTGCCTGGGCCAAGGTGCCTCCTCCGCGCTGCTCGGGCTGCGGGCTCGGCTCCTCCTGCCCCTGCTCTTGTGTTTGGTGCTTTTGAAAGCAGGCCTGCTTTTACCAGTCATAGCGTTTTGGCAAAGCTTTCAAGTGGTGGCTTCTGCAATTTCAGGACATAACGTTAGGAAGTGTTCAGTTTGTTTCACTTTCAATTGGCACTGCTTTTATGCTGCTTGAGTTTGATTGGGTTTTTTGTGGTGTGAGTCCCTGGAGAGTGAGCTTACGCTTGGGCACAGTTTATTAAACAGCATGTTCTCCCTGCCTGCAACAGATGTATGTGCCACCTTTTGCAATTTTGCAGAACATGACATTGAGACAATTGCCTGGGCTTCTCAAGGGTTTGGGGAGAGTTGTTCACATCAAAGCTGAAAAGCAGCAGCAAGACAGCAGTTCATCTGGTTCCCTCTTAATGGCCTAATCTAGGAAGATGCATAAATATGGATATCACTTGAAACTTGTGAGTAGTCTTATGGAAATTAGATGCCTTTTTTAAGTTTACTGCAGTGAAAATGTTGCTCCGAGCTATTGGATTTGGGTCTGAATTTCTCCAGAGAGAAACTCAAGAAATATTATAGCTGTTTTAACCACTGTAACGCTTAAAGTTAAGCATAGGCTTAGGTGCTTCTTGAAATCAGTGCTATTCATGACTTGGTAGCGCTTTTGATAACCACTTATGTGGTTATCAGGACTCATTTCATTTGAAGAAAAGGACTAATTAGAAAGGGTTTGGTTTCATAGAGAATGATTTTTTTTTAATTTTGTTTGCTAACTCTATTTTCTCCTGAAACCACTTCTATTTCCTTCGTGTTATTTACAGCGGTGTCTCGCTGGTGTAAAACAGCTGTTCTGCGACTTCTGAAGCAAAACATTTCCTGAGCAACTGTCACTTCACTTCATACAGACCTGGGAGATCTGATACGGAAGAAAGATCTGGGCTTTGCCGTGCTGCTTGCAGAGCTCTTCTTAAGCTTTACATTTGTCGTGCTTTTCTGTGGACTCCATGTTGCAGGAAATCCTAGTAATGCCCTTGTTTTCCATTTATTTTCTGACAGATGATCCAAGAGAGCAGGTTTCTTATTGAAACGGCAGACATCACTCACGACAAGATTGTTCAGTGTCAGAAAGCAGGTAACCCGTCTATACTGTGCTGTTCTTGGCGGAAGGGGGGAAACGTGCGGGAATTTTCTCGCGGTTTGTGACTGGTGCAGCAGCGTCTTCCGCCGAGTGTTTGAGTGTGAGCATCCTGGTCTTGCCCTGGCAAACTCCACCCTCCTCAAGTAGCAAAAGAAGCTCAGGATTATGGAAGAAACCTCAAATCCACTTCGAAAACTATTTTTCCATCTGCTCTACCAGCCCCAAAATGCATAACAATGTTTAAATTAATCAAATGGACTAGAAAGTCAATTAATTAAAAAGAGGGAGTGAGAAGATATGCTGCCTTTACTGAGCTCCATTTGCTACCACCATCGTTCCCTCAAATACAAAACAAGCAAAGGCCCTGAAACCCCCAAGACTGCCTTCTTTCCCTTTGCCTTTGCTTACTTCACTGTTGAGGTTTGTTTTAGACTTTGGAAACGGATGCCAAGGTAATTCCGTTGCATCTCAGTAAATCCATGTGGGTATGCATTATGTATGTCACTTAGGTGGGCCCAAACTAATGTAAGTATGCTTGAAGTAGATTGTGTGGTGCTGGTAGTTATCCTTGATGTCTCTGCGTGAATTAGGGCTCTGACTTGCATGTGCCGGTAGAAAGGGAGGAAGTGGTTTGGGAAGTGGCCTCCCTGGTGCTGTCTGCTCTGTCCCTCCGCTGGCGATTCCCACTCCTTTCTCAGGATGGCAGAAATCATGTAAGCATCTGCGATTCACTCTTGAGCTTGTTCTTGCAAACCCATCTTCGCCAGCTGCTTAGGGCAGGAAACCAGACTCTGAACTGGGACATGTGGTCGAGAGTTTCCTCTGATACAGGGGGATGAGCGCTGTTAGAGGAGGGCTCCCCATTTGGAGGTGGTAGGATATTAAACCTCTATAGCTAAATCCAGTAGCTTTTGTGTATCAGAAGCCATATTGAATAAATGCATGCAGTGTATTTCTATTAGGGGCTTGCACTGCTGAATTAAATCTATTTTTAATTGATACACTTGTGCAGCTGCACTTTCCATAACCTGCAGCAAGCCATGAAGATCCGTAATGCAAACACCTGCTCCTGCATGTAATGCTCGTTTGTGGGCATGCTCTTGTGAGACCACAACAATCATAAATACTACTATTTCTCATAAGCATTTTCAGATTTGGCAAGCGACACAGGCCACACCAGTTTGCTTCTATTAAATGTAAATAATGAATGAAACTGATGCTTGGTAGTAGAGCCTTTATTTCATCTTAGTAGAGAAAATTTGAAAACTATTTCAGCAATAGCATTTAATTGTGTTTTAAAGTGGTATGGGAGCAGGGTGGGCCCTAGGCTCGGCTCTCTGGAGGCAGCCCTGGGCTGCGCTCGCGGGGGCAGCGGGTGCGTCTGGCTGCGGCTCCTGAGCCTCGTCCTTCTGCCCCCCCCCGGGCAATGTCGGGCAGCTTTATGCCCACCCCGGCTGCAGGCCCCGCTCTGCGTGTAGGCAGAATAAACCCTGCCACGTCCCCGAGTGCCGGGGTATTTGCAAGCAGAGTGTTGCCAGTACCTGCAGGGAACATGACACAGGGCTCCCATTTCCATACCAATGTCAAAAAGTCCCCTCTCCTCCCTTCCCCCCGCCAAAAAGATTAACTTCTCAAGTTTGTTCTCTTTTTAGCTGCTGTGTCTGCTTGTATTTTTTTCTTTTGCTTTGTTATCCTTATAATATCCTTTCTGATTGAGGAGGAGGATAAAGACAAAGAAGGAGGAAAGGAGTGAGGGAGAGAGGATCCCTCCCCATGCCTCGTTGCTCATTAGTTCATTACACATGTTACTCAGGCAAATTGTTCAAATGATATTTTCAGTGTAGCAAAACCCAGGACTTAAAAGTTAAGAAATGTCAGGGGTAGTGTTGCCTGTGAAATGTCACTCGCCTCGCCCTGGTCCCGCTGCCCGCACGTTCCCGCGGGCCTCCTGCGCGAGCCCCGGCCTGCTGCGCTCCTGCTCCCCGCAGCAGCTCGTCGCGCTTTGGTTTTCTCTCGCTGCTTCTTGTTTTGCAGTGTGCTGAGTGAGCCTGGCCTCTTTGGTGTTTTTGTTGGTGTCTCTTGCCGTGGTCTTGGGGCGCTTTGCAGGCGGGAGCGACTCCCTCTCCCCGGTGTGGTGTTTTTTCTGCAATTTACAGGGGGGAAAGGAAGATCCGGAGGGAAAAATACACATGTGCTACATAAAGGCAGGAACTGAAGAGATGCTCAGCACCATCAGCCTTGATATTTTTTCGGAGGACAAAACAAGGCATTTGAAGGGTGTTTTTTTTTTTTCCCCACTTGCTCAAGTGCAATGATTTGTAAGTCTAGAGGCATGAAGTGCGCTAGCAGGGACAGCTTGATTGAAGTGAAATTATTTAGACCCTTCTCCAAAGGAAATGCTGTGGGAGCCCTGTTGCCTTAGATATGCAAAACTTGCAAGTGAGCAAGTAGCAAGTCTTGCCTTGTGTGGGGTTGCAGTGCCTCAGTGTGTCCCAGGCTGGGCCCGAGGGCTCTGGGGGATCCCCGCGAGGTGGGAAGCCTCGTGCTGGTCCTCCCGGACAGCGTCCTGCAAGCTTTAGCTGGTTCAAGCCTTTCCTGGGACGCCAGAGGACTTGCCGCTTCAGCAGCCCCCACGCGCCTGGTGCGGGCGCTCTGCGTCAGTCCTCGCCGGGGTCTCTCTGATGGCGTTTCCATGGAGCTCAGATCTGTGAGGGACGTTTGCCTTAAAGAATTAGCTTTAAGGGAGAGGGAGCTTTAAGCCCTCCCTGTGAAGAGGGAGAGCTACGAAACAACTGGGGCTTGACCTTGGCTTGTTTGACCTGGATGGGCTTCAGACGCTTCGGAGCAATTTGGTGCCAATTTGGCCGTTGTAAAGCACAAAGGAAGAGAACGTAAGCAGCCCTCTCTTTGTCCACACCAGCCTCTCGGAAACGTTTGCATGCGCTGTGCAAGTCTTCCAGAATTGGTGAGCTAATGGGACGCATTCAGGTTTTTATTTGATCCCAGATTTTCTAGATTCACATATCCAGCAAAGGATTTGCAGACATTTGCCGCTGAACCTAGCAATGAAATGTAGCGATTGCCAGGGCTCTGGTTAGCAATCCCACTTCAGCAAACTGCAGCAATAGCAGTCCTGTGATTAGCAGTATACGTTTATGAAATAATTCATCATTGTGAAGCGCAAGGGTTTTTCTGTATGACTGGGATGAAGATTAATGATGAGCAGTACCCCTGAGCCTGTATTTGCAGTGCCGAGCAGATCTCTCTCATGTCTATCAGACTGGCTTCCAAGGCACAAAAGCCACTGTTGAAGGGGAGCGACAAACAAGTGCCTTTTCTTGCACGTCGCCGGCGATGCAGACTTTTGGAGGAGCGTTGTTTGCTCTGGGATTGGGTGCGTGTCTGTGTGGGGCCCCAGCAGCGCAGAGGAGAGTTAAATGTGAAGGGGAGTAACAGTCCTGAGGTTGCGCTTTGCCCTTGTAGCCTAAAGCTGCTCTCCAGGGCAGGGTGGTGCCGGGAAGGATGGAGGGAGCGCAAAGGGGTGCTGTGGGAAGTACCAGCTGCGAGGCTGGAAGTGTTCAGTGAACGTGTTACAGGGGAAATCGCTCATGCACTGCGTGATGCACTGATCTGTTTCTTTAGGAATGGAGTTCCACGAAGAGCTTCATAACCTCGGGACAAAGGAAGGCTTGAAAGGAAGAAAATTAAGCAAAGCGATTGAAAGTTTTGCATGGAATATCACAGTGCTGAAGGTAAGCAGAGAAAGCACCATCTCATGTCTCCTATTAACTTCATAAGCAAACTTTTGCTCTTTTAGTTCCTTTGTTGGTACTGTCTTACTAATATTGCAGCAACATTTTGTTTTAATTGGACCTATAAATTACTCCCAGTTACTGAGATTTATCAGATCTTTCTAACTGACATCTCTGGTTTGGAAGCTATGGAGGGGAACTTACCCAGGCCTGAACATGAGAGTGAAGACAGTTCATTGGTTTGTATGCACTGAGACCTGATTTTGGTCAGCTGCTCTGCCCCACGCACCCTGAATGGGACCTGTCCCAGGTCACAAAGTCTCAGATTGAAGTGACTTAAATTCTACACGTCCAGTGCCAAGTAGTTGCTTTTGGCTGGCTCTGGGCCTTCGAAGGAGCCTACCAAATAGAAATGTTGATGTAGGAGAAACTGAGGCCGTCTGAGAGTGACTCAGTGTTTACCGTTCCCCGTTTGCAAAATGAGGACACAGCATCTCTGAGAGCAGGTGGGCTGTCAGAAAAAACACAAGAGATTGTAGATGCTGTTGAAATATCAGGGGTAAGTTTCAAAAGCTGAACGCTATCTAAAAAACTAAAAGAGAGAGGGATGAAAGTCCCTGTGGCCAGGCTGCTCAGACTGTGGATAAGCCCATCACCTGCAAGGCTTTAGCTAGCAGTTCTGCCCTGACAAGGCACAGATTGCTGCGGTGGCTGGATGTCTGCGCCTGGCGAAGTTGCCCAGGGGCAGCAGAAGATGCACAGAGGAGAAAGCCTGGTGCTGCCATGGCAGGCAGGAAGGAGGGGACCTGCATTTTCCTGCCCTGAAGCCAAGTGTTCAGGTTGTTGGCATTCAGCTCACGCCTGGTTTCACAGCGTATCATTTCCCATCCTGCTCTGACAGATCACACTCTGCTCCCTGCTTTCCCCTCGCTCTTGCACTGCTGCTCCCTCCCTCTACCCTGCTTGAATAGGCTGCCCCGTCTGACCGTGTCTCTGTGACCCTCCTGAGCCTTTCCCTTCTCGTCGTTCCTGAGCAAGCCAGCTGAGGAGAGGTTAATTTTTATGAGATTCCTCATCAAATATATGCATAAACATAGAGCTCGACAGTGGTAACAAAAATAGCAGGAGAGGGCACACTTCAGGCTCGTGGAGATGGAAAGAGCACGAACACCTCTGAGCAGGGGAGGCAAAAAGGAGGTGGGAGAGGGTGGTCTGTGGCGTGAAAAGGGGTGTGAGAGGCCGTGAGCACTGGGGAAGGGCTAGAGGAGGCCTGGGGAAGATGTGTGGGTTGTTGTGTGCCTTGATCTGCTGTGAAAGAGAGGGAGAGTGAGCAATAGAGTCGGCACAGGCTCAGTTAACAGCACCCCTAATGAAAAGAAAAGGCAGCTGATTCAAACATGATGGAAGGAAGTGACCTTTTCCACGCTGCATAATTGAGATGAGTAGCTAAAGAGGACAAAAAAATGCACGAGGCGGTTATGTACCTTAATGTGAATAGCTTTATTTGTGTTAGGCAAAATAATTGCCTCATGCTCAGAGTCACTCTAAATGTGGCCACAGTTGCTCTAATCTTGTAAATATTTAGATCCTTGTCAAATGAAAAGTTCAGTCTTCCGAGGGTGACCTGTGATTACTGAAGATACGAGTAGGCTATCAGAAACATTTCCCATGAAACATAATTGCTGCCTAGCACATACTATAAATTTTAAAGAATGTTATCAACATTTAATCCAGGTCAGGGAATAACTGACATGTTTCGTTATTAAGCCACAATTCCTTTTTTCTTCTGTCAACAAGGAGGATAGATCGGAAACATGTTAAAATACTAACAGTGCCTGTGGTGACTACCCATTGGTACAAATGCACGTAAAACACCATTTCATTCTGACTTGAGTCCAGTTCAGCTATGACATTAGGCAACGGGGAACATGGTTGTGCATCAGATGTCTGATATGGGATGGTCCGTTGTTGTTCTTATCTTTTAACTTCCCCCCTTTTTTTTTTTTCTTAAAGAAGACTGTATTTCAGTGATGCTGGAAATAATAAACTGGTTTGCTGGTTACAGATGCCTCTTGTGCTTGGCACTGACCCTACCTCTCTGCTCTTGTGGCAGGCTCTGATGAGAAGGGGAGACCAGCGACACTCCTCTGCTCCAGCTTCTGGTGTCCTCTGTGTGCCCGGCTGGAGGGTCCCTACAAACATATTTCACTACATGTTGATAGGCTGGTGTAAGAATAGAAAAAATAGCCTGTAACGTCCAGCAAATACATCAGCTGCTTTAAACTAGGTGAGGTGAGAGAGAGAGAATGGCAAAACACCTACAGGAGAGTGCGGCTTGGCGTGCTTGGGGCTGGGGGAAGCAATTGCATCCTGCTGCAATAGGCAGCTTTGTTGGCAATTTTGTGCAAGGTGCCCACGAGCAATAGCAGGTATTATTTTGGGCTTGTGCTTGTCAGATGATTAATAGTCTTTTCCTAGGCTCATGAAGCAAAGGCATATTTAATTAATTATTTATGTATAAATATTCATTGCAGTAGGTAAAGTTTTGAATACAAAGAGGGGCTACAATAAGAAATTGCTCCTAGCAAAATCATTAAATAGTTATAGAGCTGAAGATTAAAGTATATTTTATAAAAATTATAGCTGGGGGCATTCTTCATGTTTAAAAATGCCCTGGGGTACTTCTATGAGGTACTTAATGGGAATGAATCAAAATAATGTTATATTTTTCCTTACTGTATATAAAATTAATTACATATTAGTAATACCCAGGAGAAGAACAAACTATTTGCCAGAACATAAAAATGTTAGTAAAACCAAGGGCTTTATAACTCAGCCACAGTCTAACAAGTTGACTTTGACATTGAGGCATGTTATTAAAATGTCACATCATCTTATTTGGCCCTATATCATGCAAAATAATGTCAGGCACACAGTCAGCAATATTGAGATGCACAATGTAACTACAATAGACAGAGGAATGTTCTCACTGCACAAGTTGAGGAATGGTTATAATCCTAAATGTTAATCTCACTTTCACATTTGATTCCTTGCACCACAGTCTCTGTGGCTCTGTTTCCCTTTCGGTATTTATTCGAGGGCCAGTAAAGTGCAAAGGCAGCAAGAGATTCTGTGTTTAAAATCTCATGAAGATGCCTGGGGCTACGGGCAGTGGCAGGCCCTGGTCCTGGTGCTCCTTGAGGAGCTGGTCCCTGGCAGGGTCTGACCCTGGCTGCTATGTGAATTTATGAAAATGTTTGGGAATTTAAAAAAAAATAAAAAATTGTAGCATACAAAACCGCTCTCCTGGCTGAGGTAAAACTCCCGTGGACTGCCAGGAGATGTCTACTTGGGCAAAGAAGTTAGGATGAGCCAATGTGCCACAAACCTAGTAAGCCAAGCAAAGCTTGCGTTTTTTGGCTGTGATTCATATTTACTGCTTTCACGTGGAGATGCTTTGTCTGTCTGCAGTGAATGGGTTTCCCTAGGCTCTCTGTGCTTTGGTGGCTCGGCACATCCACAATCTAAGAACAATACTACCAAATACTTGCCTGCATATTGATGGTTAATGTTTAAATAGTTACTGTACCTACATACTGACGTAGGTTATAGACAAAACATGGGAGGACAAAGATAAAGAGGCACTTACTGTTTTGGTCTCCTACTCAAGAAGGAAAAAGACCCAAACGTTGGAATCTGGTCTCTGCACTAAAATGTATTTATGTATTTTTAAGCCTATGCTGCCGCTCGTGATAAGATTTCACTGCTGCTGCCAAAAGGGTGTTTTGTCTCACCACGGTTCCCAATACTGGTGTGTGCTGCTCTTCTTCGCACCACCAGGCCACAAGACATTGAGTGGTTAAATTTTCAGGGATCATTTCATCACCTGTCCATCAGTGCATCCACTAATTATCCTACACTTAAGTTAATGCTGATTAGCTGTATACGGAGAGAGGTTGCTGAATGCAGGAAGGATGCAATTATTGAATTGCTAATGCAATTCCCTCTGTGAGAGAGTAATCGACAATGCCATCTCTTCAGCTGTGCATGCAGACATGCGAGCTGAAGCCTTCCTTGCTTCCTTCATTTTTAATTTGACTTGCATTTCTGCGATGTGAGTATCTTTGTTGGTGGCTAAGGGGTGAAGGAGGAAGCTTTTAGGATGTGGTTATGATCGATATTAGCTCTGGTAGAAGTGTTTTTATGCAATGAAACTGTGCACAAATAGCAATTCTGGAGGATAATGTCCGCAAATGACCTGTTTCTTCATCACAGTCATTTGTGGCAGTGGTATAACCACCCTTCTGTCGCTGGGGAGACCTGCGGCATCTTAACCTGGGTAGCAGAGCCCCAAATGCATGCCTCAAGGAGGCTACTGGGAGAGATAAAAGCCGGGTTTCTGAAAGATGTACGCAGCCAGCCAGCCCTATACTTATCTGATGTCACTTAAACGGAGCTGAATCTAGCATTGCTACAAGGTGTAATTTTTCTTTAGGAAGAAAAGCAGCACATCTGACTAATGATTAGTAAATAATTCAAAAGCATCCTTGTGAACAGTGGTATCACACAGAGAGATGCTACTGATCCTTGTGAGAACTAGGTCCATTCACAGCCTTAATTTAAGGGCTATAATACTATACTGTGATGGGAGTGTTTTTCATGGATACTCTGCAGTACCATGAAATCATCTTAAAAGTAAGATTAACACTTAAAAGTAAGATTCTCACATCAATCCTTTTTCCTGCTGTTAGGTGAGGACTGTGGCTTTGCCGCTTGGCGTGCGCAGAGTGGACACAGAGCAGCCTGGCATTATCGGGGTCATTTTATGTAATGCAGCACAACTAACAACGTGTGCTACTCCATGTCATATCATTGCTGCCAAAGGATTTACATGGCACTTTACACTATACACTACGTAGGTCTTAAATAAGAATACAGTGAATTCATGAGCACCCATAAAGCCGCTGCGTTGTGTTGTACTGTGTATTTCAGTCCTTATG